CCCTTCTTTGTTCCCTTCATCAAAAAAACTATTACCCGAACCGCCCCCCACCCCCCAAAAGAAGCTGCAGCATCATCCTCCTAAAAAAAACCTGTATGTGTATTTTGCTCCTAAACTAAACTCACATGCTTAGGAATCTCTTTCATTATAAAAACAAACCAAATAGGCATATATCATAAACTCTACTTTCTTCTATTATACTTGCTTATGCTTTTACATAGTCCATCGAAACCAAAAGGTACCCATCGGATTCTTCAACATACCATTTTTCCCGATTAATTGGTATTGAACAAGAGGCACAAGTTTACAAGCACTTATATTCTGGTAATTCAATCCGAACACAAAGAAAATTCAGGCATAGCTGTTTGGAATCTAACTTGTACGTACACACTTAGATTGATATAAATAAAAATCCACAAGCCATTCATGTTTGGAGAAGTCGTGGAAAAAAAGGTCCTGCTTTTGTTGTACCATGATTTTCTGAAAGTGCCAGTGGCTATTTATTAAAGGTCATATGCGTTGACATTGATGTATTATTGTTGAAATCCATGGAACGCACCTGATTGAGAGAAACTTCAAAAGCTTAAAGAGACAGGGGAAGAGAGAGAGACAGTAAGAGAGATTGCGTTATCTTGATCAGCTATTTATTTTAGTTTATCTTTCCTTCTGTTTTTTATTTAAATTCATATGTAATATGGACTCTGTTTTTTATTGTTTAATTGCGTGATGGGAAGACAGGAGGAAGAAATACATATAGTTTCTAGTTACAGAAATAATTTTGAAGAAATTGTTTGTGGCAGGATGCTAAATTGTTTAATTTTGAACAATACACATGCTTACAATTGCCGAGCCTAGTAGCTTAGGCTTGTAACTAAGCAGAACATTAAAGTGATTGGTTGCTTGATTGTGTTCTCAAGTGAAGTGAGGTGTGAGGTGATCTTGGTTTGTTCACTTCCTTTAAAGTTGCACAAAGCACACCCCATACCCTCGGGTTAGTAGGGTCCCCCACCATCATGGGTGGGTAGCAAACCTAAATATGAGATTTGATTGGGGTGTGTCCTCTGGGCAACGTCTATGGTGCACTTGGTGTATCGGTGCACCAACTTCTTAAATATATATATATATAAAGCAAAAGGCAGAGAATGGTGAAACATTCAAAATACCAGAAAATGCCCTTGGTTAATCCAAACAATAAGAATTAAAAAAATTTAATTAAATGAGGATAATATGGTAAATTTTACACTTTTCATATTTTTTTAAATGTAGATTTCATGTAATTGCATTTTCAAAATGCAATTGCAAGTTTCAAAATGCAATTTGTTATAATTATTTCAATTATTTCACAACACTTACAGATTTTTTTCATGATTCATGAGTTAGGGGTGGCTTTATATAACTTGTAACCAATAAAACTTGGGTAGCTTTATATAAATTAAATTAGCCAAACTGAAATTGTTTTTTTTTACTTGTAACCAAAAATAATTTTTGAACATCTAAACTATTCTTTTGTTTTGTTATTTCTTAAATGTGAATAAATTATTATAAGGAACTAAAATACGACTACATAGTATAATTCGTTCACGTGTTATAATATCAATCAACAATAAGATATTCAACTTTGAAGACATAATATCAATATATCCACTTATATTATAATAAATATTACATGAACGTAGTCTGAAGCCACACAATAATTACCTCTCATTATATAAAAATATATATGTATTCGTGCTTATTTTAAAAATAACTTAAACAAATGTCTTATAACAAAAAATATACATTATTTTTTGAAGATGACTCATAGCATCTTCCAACCAAAATTTCGCTTATGATCCTTCTCTAGTTTTTGGTTCATATCCTCCTAATATAATTTGTTCAGATTCCGATTAATAAAAAAATGTTAAATAAGAATATCTAATAATATAATACTTAAATAATATATATTGCACTTTTAATCAGTATATAATACATAAATATGATACTTACATATAATATATACAATTTCAACTAAAATACTCAAAATTTATATAAGACAAAATACTAATTGAGGTAGGGGAAGAAAGTGATTGAGTTACCCTCTCATTCACTTTTCATGTACGAAATTTTAGAATTCATGCTAATTCTAAAATAATTTGAGACAAATGTCTTAAAACTAAAACTATTTATTATTTCTTGAATATGACTCATAACATATTTAAAATATGCTTTTACAAACTTATTTCCATGCCTAAACAAATAAATTAATATATTGTCATCCTCATATTCATGTTCCCACAAGAATTTCCCATATAATCCTCCTCTGATTTTTGGTTCATATCCTTGTTATATAGGTTTCCCCTTCCCATCTATAAAAAAAATGTTAAATAAGAATATCCACTCATAAATATAGTATTTATAATATGTGTAATTTCAACTAAAATACTCTAAATTTTATATATGTATTGTAACATAATAAAGTACTATGGGGTAATGAAGGAGAAGAAAGTTACCAATCCCCTAGCTTCCCATGTAAATCCCTATTTTATAAGGACATGGATCAACATTACAAGGAATTAGTAAGT